TTAGGGCTATGTATACCCAAGTTTGCAACTCTCAAAAAGTTGTGGAAAAATTTTTACACACCAAAAACCGCGAAATTTTTGGGCTTGTTTCAGATTCTGCTCTATATCTCCTAATCCATGCATTTTTCGTCGAAAGCTACTCTATACGTCTTTTAAGAGCATCAAAATTTGTGACAAATTAATCCCAACCGGAGCTCTGTAGGTCAATTGGTTACCGAATTACGGCACTTTGAAAATAGGCCAGTTTTTCCAAAAATTGAAAATTTTAGTTTTAGACCTTCTTTGGACCGAAATTGCGTCGAAACCATTGATCCTACGAGTAGAACTTGTAGAATATAATTTATAGGCAATTTCATTACCTTTAAATTAAGCACAGAGCGGGGTCTGTAAGCCTCGTAGTTCTCTCAAAATCGCAAAAAAATACATATAAGGTAAAATCACATTTTTCCAGAAATGTTTCATAACCCTTCCTATCTTTTGTTTTTTGGTTTGGTAATGAAAAAGAAGGCATGAAATCATTTAAAAAAAAAAACGGTGAAATGTATTTTAATATAAACATAAGTAATCTAAGGTACAGTAACTCAATCAATCATTCAGTCAACCGAATTATTGGAAAAACTTTTGGGAATGTTAGTTTCTCTAGGAAAGTAAAAGTCCTCTTTTTGGCAACGCCTACCACCATCAAGATCCACAAGAAGAGAGTCGATGTCGAGCCAATCACCATCTTCCAGTGTGTATCATGAAACAGTCAGACCTACAATTGAAGGCCCACTTCTCATACGAGCTCGCTCCATATCCAATGGCCCTATTTTCCGACGAAAGGATGCGTAAAGGCAAAAAATCAGCTTTTTACGCTGCCATGTGTGTGTAGTCATTCAACCAATCCAGACGGTATCTGTTTCAAAAAGACATATTTGGGTGAATCGTATATCCACGGAGATTTTTGGCTTTTTGGCTTTCAAATATCACTAGAAATGAAAAATTTTCTATGCGCATAAAAAAAACGTGGGCTTAACTTTTGACGCACAATATGTTAAAAAAATTCGAAAAATGTCATATTTTCTTCCTATTTAGTATGTACCTTTTCAAAAATCGAAAAAATCGCAAAAATGGGGTTAAAGGACAATACTTTTTAGGGAATTTTTTTGGGGTATTTAAATTGGGTATAGGACCTTTATACTTGGCTAAAGAAAACTTCATGTTATGTAGAATCATCACACCAAATTTCATCAAAATCGGTTCTATAGATTTTGCATAATAATTTTGCATTTCAGATTTTGAAAAACAATTTGCAAATTTTCAAAATTTCTGCACAGCAAAAACCAAGGCCCTTAGATACTTGAAAATTTAATCACATATAGAAGGGCTCTCAAGCTTTCAAACTTTTTTTGAAAAATTCGAATCCGTCAATTAAGAGAGGTCTGGCACTTCTTTAAACTTTGGTCGAATTTTTGTACTTGTAAACAATTAGAATAACTTTGTGAATATTCAATCAAATCTAATTTTTTAAGACAGGTTTTAAAAGTTCTTCGAAAGACGCTTCTTTAAAAAAAAAACAGACGGATTGATCAATTAATTACGTAATTATAGCCGATCAAAGTTAACCGTCGTTTACACTAAATGTACTGGGACATCCGGGCTAATTTTTCGAAAAATACCTTTGGTATTCCGAGAAGGTACTTACCAGGTCTAAGATTACAATACTTTTCTTCATTGGCAACCTACTTTAAAACGTGTTTAAAGTTATTTATGCAAGCGACAAATTCAATAAATCGTACGGGTTGTGGTGGTGGGGGAAGCAGAGAGCGCGGCCGCTTCGGCCTGCTCGAAATTGAATCAATTGACCTACAGAGCTCCAATTGGGCTTAATTTGTCACAAATTTGATGCTCTTAAAAAACGTATATAGTAACTTTCGACGAAAAATGCATGAATTAGGAGATAGAGCAGAATCTGAAACAAGTTAAAAAATTTTGCGGTTTTTGGTGTGTAAAAATTTTGTCACAACTTTTTGAGTTGCAAATTTGTGTATACATAGCCCTAATGAGTCCAAACAACATACTAAAAAATCAGAGATACATCATGTTTTGCGAATTTATTGTCGATATTGACCGGCCTATTTGGTTTCACGTTGTAAGGGCCCGGGAACCAATAAAAACCGTTCTTAAACATTTTACGGGAAGATATGTAATTCTCTATTTATGAAAATACTTTCCCCGCCTATGGATCTTTTAAGGATAATAACAAAAAAAACTTGATACTAAACTGACCTAAATTCAACTGTTATTTTTTTACTTTTACATCCGTGTATTTTAAATTTTAATGAACGTTTATTAACCCTCAAAGGTCACACTAGTGCGAATTCGCACAACCAAAAATCACAACTTCAAAAAATACCCATATTCGAGATACCGGGAAAAATCGATAATATCATTTTATCAATATGGGGTATTTTTTTTCTTAAAAAATAGACATTGAACTTCAAAATTCATTTTTCGAAAAATGTTTATTTTTTCATTTTTTTTTTCGAAGCTAATTACATTATTTTATTCTCGGAAAATTTTATCCCACTTTTGATATAAATACGTTACGTTTTCGTTAACAAATAAAGAAGACAAAGGTTCAAAGTTGGCTAAATCCCAATTCGCACTAGGACCTTTAAGGTGGCCCACCCCGAGTATGACCTTTGATGGGTAACACCTTACGAGAAAGACCAAAACAGAAATAACATTAAAAAAATACATATTTAAAATTTTCCTTCTGCCAATTCAAGTAACTTAATTATGCAAGAATTCTCAAGGAATAGGTAAATAAAGCACTTGAGTTAATTGCCGACAAACTTCAACAATAGAACAATAAAGCGATCGCAAAAATGATTAGCCGATTTATCAGAATATCAGTAAGCCACAGTGGGATATTTAAAAATATAATTTCTAAACCAGAGTTTCATGAAACGAAGACAAGGCTGCGAAACTACTGGACGTGTTTGAAATTGTGAAGTACCTCCTTCGTAACGATCTTGACACACACGGGTACTGACTCGGTATCTGTTTATTTATACAGACAGAGTCTTAAATTCTACGATCCGACACATTTAAAAAATGTGGAAAACAGACAATCTTTCTAGAACCATAGGCAAGCGAACAGAAAATAAATTCCAGCTCGAGGTCATCAAATGCAAAATAAGAAATCAAAATTCAGATGCAGACGAACAATTAAACAACAATGTCGCACAAGCGATATGACAAAATTACAAAGTTGTAAACACAAAGTAAATGGGAAATGGCATATTGTCCAAGGTGTCAAAGGAGCAAACTGGAGAACCGATTTCAACACTAAATCAATCAGAGAAAATAAAATATGCCGTATCTATTTCAATTTTAAATAGAGAAAAGTCGGAACGGTACAATTAATACAAACAAGCAGTTTATTGGAAAGTACTATACTGATAGACGAGACATACATAATCTTACACTAGGAGAAATTTGATACATGACCATTTTGTTGAATGAAGAATATCTTCAATAAAATGCCATAGCTTTTGGCTACGTGTTAAAGGCAAGGCAAATAATAACAAAAGAAATATTTATATTGCCCAGAATTCATCTTAGAAGTAAATAAGCAAAACAAACATACTTTCACATTTCCACACTGTACCTACGTATTGTAACTGATTGATTCATTCATTAGCGTTTTATATTGACAAGGAAGTCAAAGTGTTTATCAAATCCAATGGATTCTTCCGGAGCAGATGTTTGTTTATGTCATTTTTTAATTGTCAATTAATAAATACTACAGCACAATCACATATTTTTCAAGTACTAATTATTTGGTTTAATAAAACTCAATGAAAATTGATTGTAATATTTTCCTCGCAATATTGAGTTATATTTTGAGATACAACACATTACAGTTACGAAAAATTGTGATTACGATGATAGTTAAATGATTACGCAAGACCTTCTTCAAATTCCAATTTTAGCAAACGACTGGCGCAATTATTTATTCATAAAAATAATAATTTGCACTTTGCAGACAAATTACTGAACAGATTTTATCTCTTTCTCAACCCACCCAAAATAACCTTCAGGATGTTGCGTTCGGTTGCAGTAAGTATTGCATTTTGCATTTTTTTCCATTTACTTTAATTTCTATGATGTCTTCATGAATGACTCAAAAAAGTCTCTCGTTATTGAGCGTATGTTCATCCAAACTAGGAACTTTTCTCTGAGTTTATTATAATATTTCTTTCATATTCCATATAGATTTTTAATAACAATACGGAAGATCTTACTAAAAAAGATAACCAAGTTTTTATTATATGAATTTTTTAATGTTTCAGTAATAAAAACCATAACAAAATAAATTATAGATTCATTGGAATTCCTCGAATAGTAGTAAAACAGGAAAATAATGGCATATTTACTGGAAACTTCAGAAATAGGAACTTTTGAACTGATTCTGATTCTCTCTCTCTCTTCTCTTCTCTTATATCCTATTTTGTGGCGAGGTTGGTAGTGTTGGTAGTGTAATTTTGTGACAGTTCGAGATCTAGATCTTAAATTTAGCTGCTAATACACCCAGCACTTTCTGTGCCTATGGTGATGGTCCTGCGGGATAACTCAAGTTCTCAGTAGCTCAATTCCGCTTAGGACTTTTTGTGCTTGCAGCGAAGATTCTAAAGTATAAAAGTGCTCAGGCAAAGCAAAGCCTAAAAGACATAAGAATAACCATACTTGAGATGTCCATCTCTCACCAGGTCCAAAATCAAAGCCTAGAACTGAGCTGGGCAGAGAGAGCCTCGATAAAAAGGACCAGTACAAAGGTTGTGGCACGACAATATGTTTTTGACTTTTATTCTCTTAAATACAGCATCTAAGTGACTTAAGTTAACTTCAAATGATTAACTAAAAATCCATATTCGATATTATGATACCCAGATTCGATTTTAAAGTTTTATAACGCATTTAGGGGTTAGTAAAAACAAGGAAACTTCACATACCAGATTCATACTCCTGGGAGTACCTTCCCCGCCTGCTCGGCCCGAACACCTCGCTCCTGGTGCGCCTCCTGTCGTACATCTTCACCTCGTCTATGGCGGCGTAGTTCTCCTGCTCGCTCGCCACCGAGTCGTATCGCCTCTTCTCCTGCACGTTGGGCACGTACGGCGGACCAACCTGCCCGTTCCCCGGGACGTAGTAGAAGGAATGGGAGTTGGCTTCGGCGAATTCGCCGCTGCTGCCGCTCGGGGCGCTGGGGTTAGAGCTCAGTTCCATGGAGTCCAGGTGTTCCCTGATGTAGGCGTAGTTCTCCAGGTCCCACGGGTCAACGTACGGCTCTTTGGAGGGGTAGTCCAGGGACTCCTCGCTGTCTGCTTCGACGGGGTTCCAGTAGAGTGCGTCTCCGGGCATTTTCTAACCTTAAAAAAACAGATGGGTTAAGTAAGAGCAATAATACGTCTAATTGCAACAAGTAAATTTCTAAATAACAGGACACATACAAAAAAATCCGCTAAATTAAGAATTCTATCAAAAAAAAAAGAAAAATATGACGCATGCACAAAGATGTGGAGTCGTTAAGTCCATTTTTTTAATTTTAAATTTTAATACCCGTATGATTTGGATCTGAGTAATATTACTAAAAAATTATGTTCTTAATTAAATATTACTCCATGATTCAAGACCGTAACCATTGACATTATAATCGAACTAGATAGATATATTCAGTTTTAGAAAATTACTACAACACCACCTGAGGACCTTATTGATTTAGTCTTGTTAAGGCTATTGATTATTCATTTTAGATGAAAAAACCGCGGAGTGCTATTAAATATTAGAGGGTGGAAATTGGAGAGAGGGGTGAAAATGCACTCCTTTCAGTTTTTTAATTGAAGCAAAATTTCGCTATAGTTCATAGGAAAAATTATTTAGAGAATTGAATTTCCCATCGAAATGGCTTATTTAAAAAATTTAAAAGGAAAATTTTATGCAAAACATCGTATATAAACAATTTGATTAAAAGCAAAAAAATTTTTTTTATTTTTTTTTGCTTTTTGCCACTAGTTTTTTTTGAGTAATGATAGGTATAGGCATTGCTTCATAAAAAAGAAGTAGATAAAATTTCCTTCAAAAAAAGAGGTACAATATTTTTGGACGAGAATTAACTGATATATGGCCGCTCAGACTTTGTCAATTTTTCGGTTTTCGAAAACGAAGCAAAATTTTGGTATAGTTCATAGAAAAAATTTTGTCGAGAATTGAATTTCCCATCGAAACAACTTATTTAAAAGAAAAATTTTAGGCAAAAAATTGTTAATTTAAAAAAGTAAAAAATAATTTTTTTTTATTTCTTTTACTTTTTTGACTCTATTTTTTTAGGAGAAGTAGGCAAAGAAAATTGCTGTACAAAAGAACTAGATGAGATTCCTTTCAAAATGCGTTTTCAAAAGTTTTTGGACTAATATTTTCTATTTTCTGTTATGTAAGATTTTGGTGATTTTTATCACAGAATGGCTATTAAAAACTGTTAAAATATTCCATGAATATAAATGCCCCAGTCAATATAACTGACTGCAAATGAAAACTAATGTTCAAATTATTTTAATGACCTCGAACAACGTTGATAATTCTTCATTCCTTATATCCATCACTTAACTAAATTGACAAAAATTCAAGCAAATATAGGTTAAGGTAGCACCGTGTCTAAATTTGTCCCGTAATAATTAATTACTGCCTCTTTCAGTATTTTTATTTCGTAATTATGTATGTGGTATCAATTTATTTTTCATTGTGTGCGTAGGTTTTGTAAAATACGTGGTACAAGTTGTTATATCACCAATTGTCGTTACATATGTCTTGCAGAAAGAGAATTCACTTTCAAATGAATTACTGATAAATGATTCTGATTTGACTTTCAAATCTACACGAAAAAGCTCCATCGTTAAATAAATTAGAGAAGCTGTAGAGAAATTTTCAATAAATTACCACAGACCGTAGCTGTAGCAACATAATATGAATATTATAGAGTTTTAAGAAAATCACATGTTGGACAATTATTAATATGATTCTTCGATTATTTATAAATATGACTTAATAAAATTATCTGATCGTTCCAAGTAAAATACACTATGCACAATTTCAATAGACAGATTATTTGTTTTTTTTTTCGACAGTGTAGTGTACACACAACTAGAAAGAAATTTGATTGCGGTTTTAGTGAGAAAACCGTTCTTATGATGGCAAAGTAACCAATAATTCACCTTGACCTAGTAGAAACGCAGCGACGCGGGAAAAATAATTCAGTTTGACATTAAAGAAAAACTTTTACATTATTTATTATGCTATCGATATAGTCTAGGGCTATACAGTAATCAAATACGATATACAGGGTGTCCGGTAAGTACCTCCTAATCTCTCGGGAGTGTATAGGGGAGGTCAAAATAAAACTAGTCCTTCCTATATTTTTTTTTCCTAATGTGCCCCCTAACGGAGTTATGGGGGGTCAAAGGGGTACCTAGAAATTAACGTTTAGGGTTATAACTTTGAAACCACCATGTATATTTTAATAAAATTTTCGTACGTTGTATTACACATGGAGCTCTACGATTTGATGCTAAAATCAACTTTTTGCTATTATCAGGTGTCCAGAAACGGACTGGCCCTATCACAATTTTTCTCAAAATTTTGACAGAAGTAATTTTATCAAACTGAAAATATTATTATTAGATACTCTGAAGGTTTTTCTTTAAAAATGGTACTCTTTATTTATTTCGAAAAAATGAACGGTTTGCGAGATAAATCGGTTTTGAAAAAAATTGGTAACAAATACAACAACAATTAAAATTTATTTTTTTACAATAAAATCATTCCCGCTAGTGCCAGCCTACAGATTCACCATAAACATTTACTGGTGGTGAATTAAGGGAATGAATAATGCCGTTTCTTGTAAAATCAACATCTATGACCAAAATACATCTACAAATTATTATTGCTCTTGTCTCCATGGAGTTCTTTTCTATTGTTTTCGTTGTTAGACCCTGTTGATTTTAAAGTACTTGTCAAAGGCGCGTGACAGAATAAAAATTCAATTTTATTGTGGTATTCGTTTTAAGCCGTTAGAAATAACATTTAAAAATGGAAGAATATTCCTGTGCAGAATATGCTGATATGCACCTAATTTATGGGGAAGCATTATGCAACTCCGTGGAGGCAAGAAGACTTTATGAGGAAAGGTTTCCGGGTCGACATTTGCCGAGTCCAAAAACTTTTGAAAGAGTTGATCGTAGTTTAAGAGAAACAGGTAAAAAAAAATAGTGAAAAACGTTAGTGAAACTAATTTCTTCCGAATCCTTTATTTAGGAAGCTTTTTGCCACGCCGTGGTGGAGCAGGAGCCCCGAGGAGAGTACGAGACCCTCATGTAGAGGAACAAATATTGGAAGACGTTGCTAATAATCCTTCAAATAGCATAAGGAAGCTTGCGGCGCAAAACAATGTTACAAAATGGGCTGTACATGAAACTCTGAAAGAACAATTGCTTTACCCGTACCACATCCAAAAAGTACATGCTATGTCTCCAGATGATTATCCAAAAAGACTTCAATACGCCAATTGGTTTTTACAGCATCATATTCGGAATCATAATTTTGGTACATCTATTTTGTTCACCGATGAAGCAGGTTTTACAAGAGACGGCATAATTAATTCGCATAATCTACATGTCTGGGATGAAGAAAACCCTCACGCTTTAGTTCAAACTCGCTACCAACAAAGGTTTATGGTGAATGTGTGGGCTGGCATTATCGGGAATCATTTGATTGGTCCATTTATTCTGGAGCAAAGACTTAATGGTGCTCTTTATTTGCAATTTTTAGAGGAAAATCTAAATATTTTGTTAGAAGAAGTGCCCCTTCAAATAAGAACTGAAATGTGGTACATGCATGACGGTGCACCACCCCACTTTGATCGTTTAGTACGTCAACATCTGACGAATGTTTTTGGTGATCGATGGATAGGTCGAGGCGGACCTGTATTATGGCCACCTAGGTCGCCCGACCTAAACCCATTAGACTTTTTTCTGTGGGGTCATTTAAAAAATAACGTTTATTCAACACCCGTAAATAGTAGAGAGGAACTTCTGCTGAGGCTAACACAGAACTGTGACCATCTCCGCAATAATCACGGAATATTATTTCAAGTGCACCGGGAAAACATTCGTAGGATTAGAAAGTGCATTGAAGTACGGGGTGCTCATTTTGAACATCTACCGAAGTAACATTTAGGTACCTTTGTTCATTGTTGAATGTTCTTTGTTGCATGTCTTGTAAGTAAGTTATTTTTCAAATGTTATTTTTAATTGGTCACTACTTGCTCATAAAGTATAGCCAACCCGTTCAAAGATTTCTGGACTTGATAAAGTTAAAGAAATTAAATGCATGAAATAATATGTAAAAAAAATAAATTTTAATTGTTGTTGTATTTGTTACCAATTTTTTTCAAAACCGATTTATCTCGCAAACCGTTCATTTTTTCGAAATAAATAAAGAGTACCATTTTTAAAGAAAAACCTTCAGAGTATCTAATAATAATATTTTCAGTTTGATAAAATTACTTCTGTCAAAATTTTGAGAAAAATTGTGATAGGGCCAGTCCGTTTCTGGACACCTGATAATAGCAAAAAGTTGATTTTAGCATCAAATCGTAGAGCTCCATGTGTAATACAACGTACGAAAATTTTATTAAAATATACAGGGTGGTTTCAAAGTTATAACCCTAAACGTTAATTTCTAGGTACCCCTTTGACCCCCCATAACTCCGTTAGGGGGCACATTAGGAAAAAAATATAGGAAGGACTAGTTTTATTTTGACCTCCCCTATACACTCCCGAGAGATTAGGAGGTACTTACCGGACACCCTGTATAATTTTTGAAGAAAATTATATAAGTATTGTATACCGAGAAAAAAATTCACTGGTGACAGGTGAAGAGAAAAATAAGACTTGCAATTATTTTTACGATATGTATGTGCATCAGAATACTTCGACTTTGTTCGTGACGCAAATGGGCGAGTAAAAAGAGCATCACAGCAATATGTTTATATATGGTAGCTATAATTTGCCGCTTTTGAACAAAAAGTAATTTGAGTTTCAAACTAAGTCCACTTTATAGAAAATCTGCGTTGGAATGGGGGAAAGTCTGTTATTTGTGCATTATTTCATATTTGGACAAACTGTGTAATAAAATCTATAAAAATGTATTGCTGGTTGCCTATTTGTTATAGAGCCCTTTTAAGTTATATGATATTTATAGAAAGTGTAAAAAACAACTAAGTTTTAATTTTAACCTGTATTTTACACCTTTATAGAAAATTTATAACGGATAGGTTCTAAATTCTAACAACAAAGCTATTCTTAAGGTACAAGTA